CCCATATCCCTCCGCCCACCTCTGTTTTTGTAGTCAGCTCATTCCTAAGAAGGGTGGGGGATCGGATGGATAAAGACATATATGTAGAATAAATGGAGAAGGACAGAACAGAGTAGAGAGACTTAGAGGGGGTTTTCTCTCTTACACTCTTTAATATCTTGTGGACGGCAGGGGAGTCGGGGGTGTACAGGATCTTTCCCATCAGCAGGGGCTTGACTGAATTCCACACAATTTTTGTGACAGGGTTGGACTCCAGGGTTTCCATCAGGGCGTTGCAGGAGGGACCTAGTGGTAGAAAATTGCACCAAAAAAAACGAGATTAGAAGAAGAAGAAAAATATATATACAAACAAAAAGAGATGAAGCCTCATGTGGAACTGTCTTATGTCCTCTAGACAACGGTAGCATTTAGAAGATATCAATTAAGTTATTGACAGTCATGTATGCTAAGTTAGTCACTGAGTGATTATTCAACAGCTTCGTAATGGAGAACAAATGTCATCTGTTAAGCACTTGCATGGATTAAAAGAACTGTTGAAATGTAAGAAAAACTGTGACGTCAACGCTGCATATCAATTTAACACTTCATTCATTCTGAACAGGTTTTCAATATAAAGTGCTAAAAACATTGACATTTAAATATTCATTCAGGTGATAAGTATGCAAATGTGGCTGATGATTGTGCTCTTGTTTATCATTATTGTTCCTCAATACAAAGAGAGAGGCTAAAAAAAAAAAATTATAATTTGAAACATTCAAGAAAAATAATTTTTATTACACTTTGGGATTAAATACCTTTTGCTTTCCCTTGTTGATGTTAAGTAATATTCCAAAGCTGCAGTATAGTTTTTATCTTTTTAATTAAAATGTACTCTCTATTTGCATAATTAACAAAACATGTGAAATAAATGGCAACTGGCAATTAAAGAGATACATATAAACAGCCAACAGCAAACAGCCAAAGTTATTAAAGAGAAAGTGCAATTTTGTATTATTATATTATTTATCACAGTAAAAAGTGAACACCATATTCTATAGAGATAGTTAACACTTCTTCACTTACTGGCAGAGTCGTCATAGAAATAGTTGCGCTTCTTGGTGGCATTGACCCCCAGAAACATTTTGTAGTTGTTGTCCTCATACCAGTTGAAGGACAGGACCTTAGAGCCCCCTCCCTCTGGGTATCCACAGAAGAGCTGCGACACACTGGACATCATCTGGCTGAATGTGGGGGAACCCTCGGCTTGAAACAGAGCGGAAACCACCTTCAGGAGATCCTGAGAGCTCTCCCGCTTCATCAGCTGTAAAACCATACAGAGGGACAGATTAGAGAGATTGTCACAGTGATCATTATGTCGTCTTGACCTACATTACCCCTATGCATTGCCCATAACAACTTAAACGTGTATCTGTTCAGGTGAGCATGCCTACTTTCACTCGTGTTGTTCTTCACGTGTGGGAAAAACATTAGATTCAAGTCTTGAAACATGGAAGGTATCTAAGAATCCTCAGGGCTGAAACACAAAGACATGATATTCTCACCTCTTGTCTGCAGCCTGCTAGCAGCTCTGTAAGGCATGCTCACAATGGTTAGCATGCTGATGATAGCACAACCATCTTAGTTTTCACAATTCACAATTGAGGTTTATTGGTAAATTGCTTTCTAATAATCCAGAAGTAGGCTATTGGACAAAGAAATGAGTAGAACACAAGTTAAACACAAGTCATAGGGGTTCATCATCTAAGGACTTTGGATGTGTTTACCAAATGTTATGGCGAAAAGCCATAACACCACAACTTCCCGCCAACACGGCACCCAGACCCCACGCAGCATTCTCATCTGTTTGCCATTACTGGTGTCATGTTCTGGTTGCTAACGCCATTGTAACACATAATCACTGATGTTCCGCTGTAACGGTGGTGGACTCATCAGAACAGAGTGGGCGAGCTGACCAATCAGAGCACAGTGGGCTCATAGGGAGGGGAGGAGCTTTAACAAGCCGTTTAGGACAGAGAGTGAATACACATACTATACAGAGATGCTGTATGAGAAACCAATGTGAGTTTGGAACATCGAACAATGTAAATCTCAACAATGGAATTATGATCAGTAGAAATGGCCATGACATGGGACCTTTAAATGAGGGTTATTTGAATAGCAAAAGTCTGAAACATCCTCACAAAAAGGTCATAGTGCAATTATGTCAAAACATTGTAAAATATATTGACATGTTGGCATGGAGTTACATGATTTAAGAGAATAAGACGTTACTGTCACATGTCTTAGGTTGCTGACCAAAGCTTGTGTGCTGTAGATGAGAAGAAAAAAACGATACGCCTTTGAAAGGAACCCAGACCAGTTGTCCCCTTAATTTAAAAAATCCTTTATTCCTGATCATCTGTTGATCAATGCGGGTTAAATGTCATCCTAAATTATGTTGCGTGTAATTAATTAGCCTTGAGCTATTTGACCTTTTGTCAGATAATGATCAACAGAGAAGGGATATTTATGTCCTTCATATTCATTCATACTGTGTGAATGGAAAAACATAAACAATCACTAGAAAACAATAGTTAGAAAGATAAGCAGACATGGACGTACGCCTCTACTCACACGATGAGGATAGTCTGAGGGCGGCTAAATATCCTCCTATTGATAGAACAAAAATAGCTTCATCCAAGTGCGTTTCTCCATGCCTGTATCATTTCCTTTCTAAATAAATAATTGGCAGTGTGTCAGAAATCGTAGTTCAGGGTTTTCATTTTTTGTCGGCGAGTAACATATTTATCCAAAGATAAAATCACATAATTAAATCAACCTGAAATGTCCTCAAATCCGAGAAATGTTTCAAATGTTTAAATGATATCATAAGGGATCAGGTTTTCAGTGGTTTTGAGGCCTCACAAGGAACATGTGTTTTTTAAATCATCTTATAAAACAAAGCATCTCGGGAGGCGTGTGGCGCAGTGGACTAGTGCGTTGGGGTTCGGATCAGGGGAGCACAGGTTCAAACCCCACTGCAGTCAGCATGTCATTGTGTCCCTGGGCAAGACACTTCAAGGCCACAGTATTGAGAATGTAAGCCGCTTTGTATAAAAGCGTCTAACAGGTAATATGTCATGTAATGTAATCTCTCAACAGACTTTATCAAAACACTGTAATCACACTGTTATTCAGAGTTCAATGAAGCTGATGACTCATTGATTTTCTGAGCCCTTCATCCTTCAAAGCAACCTTTTACGTGTGAATATACACATACCTGTTATACCCCTGATTTATTTCACTCTCACTCCCTTTTCCTTATTTATTATTACAACACACACACACACACACACACACACACACACACACAATTAAAAGCAAGGAGAGGTGGGTAATGAGAGCATTTGGCTCGCCATTCTGTCACCACGGTGATACGAAGGTCCCACCTACAGGATGTGTCACCTCAAAGGAATGTCTCTCTCTCTCTCTCTCTGTGTTGACGACCCCCCCCCCCCCCC